GGGAGCACTGCATCCCCAGCTACCCCTGAAGCAAATGAAAAAATATAGATATAGGAAATGTGCTTGTGATTCTGTCACTGGGATATGCAAATAAAATATATATGATAGGCTTATCTGCCTAATATTCCTGCCAATTCATTCTCTGGGTGTGATTAAAATGAGCAATAAATTCCTCGTGAGTCTCGGTGGAATGAGGATTCGGGAGTGGAGATGCATGCTGGCACCAGCACATCCCCCTCAGCTGAATATTCATCATGGAATAGCTCCCCATATTTTTGTTTTATCTGCCATCATGTGCACAAAGATATATTTCTACCCCTCTCCTTCGTCTCTTAGTTAAAACATGAAAATGGTCTACTCTCCATGTAGTAAAATTCTTCAAACTGAGATCACAAGCTACCTTCTCTATGAAGCCTGCCCTGCTCGTTCTGCCTGGAGGTGGTCCATGCTTTCTTGGAGCCCCCCCCCAGACTCTCTGCAGACCACTCCTAATGTACAAATCAGTCTGTGGGTATGAGAGCTAAGAGTGCCTGACTCTCCCCCATCCTCCTCTTCTAGCCGGCCAGCTCAGAGGACAGGGGCTGGGCTTCATCTACCTCTGAATCTTCTCAGGGGGCCCAAGGAAGCTACTGCACAGAGAATGCTGAGAAATTGAGTAAACTGACAGTAAGGAGAAAATCATTTAGGCCACTTAAGGTGACAGAGATTCTTAGATAAGTGATACATTTTAAAAGGCAGAATGAAATTAAAGATTACGCTTATGGATAACTTGAAAATGGGAAAATTATCAAGAAATAATATTAAGCAGAGCACCTGGCTGGCTCAGTTGGAAGAGCATGCGGCTCTTGATATCAGGTTCATGAGTTCAAGCCCCCACATTGGGTGTAGAGATTACTAAAAAAATAAGTAAACTTAAAAAAAAAAAAATATTAAGTGGAAAAAAAAACCCCAGATTCCAAATATGGAACTAGGATCGTAACTCAAACACCTTCAGGGCCAAGTAGGAAATATAAATGTCTGACAGGCCAGCACATAATATAATAAGGAGTTGAGGGGCCTGTGGCTGGAGAATCCACACTCCCAACCCCCAAGGGGTCACATTTTTTAAATAAATTCTTGGGTGGCAAAATAAAATATGGCTGCCAGTTTGAGACTCCTGTATATACAGTAGGCTATCAATCAGGTTTAAAAAAAGAGGCCAACTATATATAGATAGATAGATAAGGTCCAGAAAAGGCAGATCTAATATCATAAAAAGAAATCCTCTCATTCATATCCCAACAGTTACTTATAACAACTTGACTTTCTGTAAGTCATCTGCTTTCTTTTCTTTCCTTCTTTAAAGATTTTATTTATTTATTTGACAGAGAGAGAGACAGTGAGAGCAGGAACACAAGCAGGGGGCATGGGAGACGGAGAAGCAGGCTTCCCGCCAAGCAGGAAGCCCGACGCGGGGCTCGATCCCAGGATCCTGGGATCATGACCCGAGCCGAAGGCAGACACTAAATGACTGAGCCACCCAGGCGCCCCAGTCATCTGCTTTCTTTCTTTCTTTTTTTTTTTTTTAAAGATTTTATTTATTTATTTGAGAGAGAGAGAAAGAGAGAGAGCACATGAGAGGGGGGAGGGTCAGAGGGCAAAGCAGACTCCCTGCTGAGCAGGGAGCCCGATGCTGGACTCGATCCAGGGACTCCAGGATCATGACCTGAGCCGAAGGCAGTCGCTTAACCAACTGAGCCACCCAGGTGCCCATCTGCTTTCTTTCTTTCAGCTTCAGTTTTTGTTTTGTTTTGTTTTGTTTTAAAGATTTTATTTATTTATTTGACAGAGAGAGAGAGCACAAGTAGGCAGAGTGGCAGGCAGAGGGAGAGGGAGAAGCAGGCCCCCCACAGAGTAGGGAGCCAGACGCGGGGCTCGATCCCAGGACTCCAGGATCATGACCTGAGCCGAAGGCAGCCGCTTAACCGACTGAGCCACCCAGGCGCCCCTCAGCTTCAGTTTTCCCATCTGTAAAATGGAGGTAGTAAGAGCTGCTTCAAGGATTTGTTATAGGATTAGAAAAATCACAGAGAGCACCTGGCACAGTGCCTATTATTCACTCGGGCACTAGCCTTGTACTAACATGGCCAACACTAAGCCCCTCTAAGACAGCCAAATTTAGTTAAGGGTCCCTCAGCAGCCCTAACCCCTCCACCTATGCTGGCACTAAGAGGCCTGCCCTCTGTCATACCACTGAACACACCATGGGCTCTCTTGGCCAAGTCCAGGGTGTGCTCTCATGGGACAGCTACTGTGCCTGAGAGGGATGACAGGAGTGCAGTCCCCGAGGTTATGTGAAACATGTGTAGGGATTTCCTTACGACACCTGAGGAAACTGACCTGACCTCGAGGGCTGCTCCTAGGGGTGGAAAATCTGAACAGAGGAAGGAAGTGCTTGTTCTCTAGGAAGCTTCACTCTTGCTAGTCCCAGGCACTCCTCAGGATGCGCTGTGAAAGCCCATCTCCCTTCCTACCCTCCCACCTTCTCTGGAAGAAACTACCACAAGATAGTTATTAAGGATCCCAGGGAGACAAACTATATGGTTAATGCTGGTTGCCAGATAGTTCCAGTTCTCCCCCTTCTGGGTACATGGTAGGATTACTCTTCTTGGACTCTTGTGATTGGGTGGGAACACGGCATTAGTTCTGTCCAGTGAGTTGTGAGTGGAAGTAAAGGGTCTACTTATAGACTGAGCATTTAACTACTGATGCAAGACCCTCCAGAGCATTCTTTTCCCTCTGGCCAGCAACGTGCAACATCCCAGAGGGTGGCTGTAATGCCAGTCTAGTCTCTGAGGACCTATGATGAACAGAGACCATCATGGACAGGCTGCATGAAGCCAAAAATAAATCTTCACTATTTTATACCACTGAAATCCTGGATTGTTACAACATAATCTGGTTTATTCTGACCAATACATAGATAATTGTATACTGAATGGAACCTTAGAAACCATTTTGTGCAATGTCTTCATTTCACAGAGGTAAACTGAGCTTCAGTGAAGGGAAATACTAGCTCCATGTCACCCAGTCAGTGAGTGGTGGAGTTGGGATCACACCTCATGTCTTGTCTGTCTCAGTCCAGTGACCTAAGGGCTCTTACTCAAGACATAGAATATCTGACACTAGGTGGGACCTGTCATACTGAATCATCTCAAGGCACTTCAGCCGATGTGCCCAAAGAGACTCCATGATGATGGAAAGAGCAGAAGAGTGAGAGTCAGTAACCAAGTCTGCTCTTTCACGAAGATGGTACCAAAACCGAAGAAGGAAGCCCCTGCCCCTCCCAAAGCCAAAGCAAAGCCAAAGCCAAAGCCAAAGCCAAAGCCAAGGCTTTTAAGGCCAAGAAAGCAGTGCTGAAAGACGTCCACAGTCACAAAGAAAAGAAGATCCGCATGTCACCTATATTCCCATGGCCCAAGACACTGTGTCTCTGAAGGCAGCCCAAATATCCTACAAAGAGCGCCCCCAGGAGAAACAAACTTGACCACTATGCCATCATCAAGTTCACCCTGACTACCGAGTCAGTCATGAAGAAAATAGAAGATAACAACACACCTGTGTTCATTGTGGATGTCAAGGCCACCAAACACCAGATCAAACAGGCTGTGAAGAAGCTCTAGGACATTGATGTGGCCAAGGTCAACACCCTGATCAGGCCTGATGGAGAGAAGAAGGCCTATGTTCGATTGGCTCCTGACTATGATGCTTTGGATGTTGCCAACAAAACTGGGATTATCTAAACTGAGTCCAGCTGGCTAAATCTAAATTTTTTACCGTAAAAAGAAAACAAACAGGGGAGGGGGGTGGGGGGATGGGTTAGCCTGGTGATGGGTATTAAAGAGGGCACGTTCTGTGTGGGGCATTGGGTGTTATGCACAAACAACGAATCATGGAACACTACATCAAAAAGTAATGATGTAATGTATGGTGATTAACATAACAATAAAAAATTTAAAGAAAAAAAAGAAAAAACAAATAAAAAAAGAAAATGAGGCTTTCATTTCTACTCCTACCACTGAACCTACTACATGACCTTGTATTCAAGTCTATTAGTTTCTGTTTTGACACTAAAGCACTCTGGGGCCAAAGGCAAGCCATGTCACATCCCTGGGCCCCAGTTTCCTCAGGAGTAAGATGAGTCCACTGTTTAGGCTTCAGAGATTTGAAACGTGTGCCCTGCAGAAGGACCCCCACAGAAGCTGCCTGGGAGAGAAGGGCTAGGCCAGGTGGCTGTGGTGCTGGCCCACCTCTTAGCTTTAGTTTCCTCCGACTTGTGTTCGCTTCGGCAGCACATATACTAAAAACAGTTTCCTCTGACTTATTTGTTTAGGCTTTGGTAGGATTTCCGACCACTGGACTTGATTTCTGAGGTCCTTGGCAGCTCTGAGATTTGTGACACTAGTTCTTGGATTCTGCCCAGTAGTTCCTGAGGGACAGCACGGTGGCTGGGAAGAGCAGAAGGCAGCCTGCATTTAGGGAGTTCAAAAGTTTGGTTGAGAAGATCAATTTATAATGGAGATATTTTTGGCTTCGACTGTACCAGGCTCTCTGGAGTATGTGTGGAAGGGAGTGGTGAGGGAATGATTCTGGAAGGAGTGATGATGGGAAAGGATTGCCTGTGAGGTTAAAGAATATGTGAGGCCTGGGGTAATAGTACTTGGGCTAAAGATTTTGTCTAACTATCCCTGGTCCTATGAAAAGGAGCTAGAAGGCCCATTACCTCAACAACTGAATTTGAAGATTAGTCCTCAGAAGTCAGAAGTGGCTCAGGCCTCTGCCTGGTCATGACAGGGGCAGCTTCCTATTCTTGATGAGATTGGGGGCTAGATTTGTATTTAAGCAGACAATAATCATCTAAGGAGAAGTGGCTTTGGTATGGAGCCAGACATAATTTAATGAGTGAAAGATTAAATGCAGCACGGAGTGCCCACAGGCCTTCTCCTTTCTCTGAGACTTACCTTTGCCTCAGAAGTCCTCAGAAGCTTCATCACCTCCCCTTCTCGGGCATAATCCAAGGGTGTGTGTCCCATTTCATTCCTCTGCAGGGGGTTGGCTCCTGGCAAGAAGAGGAGTAGTCAAAGACTCTATGAATGATCGGTGGGGCCTCAGCCTTCCCTCAGAGGTGACTTGGGCCCTGATTTCAGAGGAAGGAACTCCCATGGAAACAGGGAGCAACAAAACCTAAGAGATTGTAGAATAGTGTGAAAAACATGTCAAGGTACTCTGAGAGGACAGTCCTTAGTTCTCTGACAGAGAGGTCAGGGTATCGGGGTTCCTACACATACATGCACACATGTGCAGAAACATACTACTCATACTACTACATACACAAAGATGCATTATATACACATAGATGTGTTGTACACAAATACACACACACACCCCCCAAATACACAGAGCTATCCTACCACCAATGCGTCAGTCATTAAAATGTCCCTATGATTAAGCTCATTTGCATACAGATGAATATTCATTAATAAAATCATATAAAAGGGTTCCTTTCTAAAGCACAGAATATCCAAAAAAAAGGTAAAATAGCCCCCTTTTTTTCTGCTCTCTGCTCCGCACTCTCTCCTTTAATGCTTTTTTACCTTGGTATTTCCTGCCTACCAGAGTTAGAGTCCTCTGAAAGGAAGTGGACATCACCAGGAACCTGGCTATGGTAGCCCCAAGGTTTGATGCTCTTACCAATGCTAACTGTTGGTGAGTGTGTGCATGTGGGCAGGCATTTCTTCCAATCATTAGTTCCTGTGATTGGAGGACAAAGAACTTGGAGTATGATAAAAAGAAGGGGCTTGCCCAGGCCATGCATCTACCTTCTTTCTACGTTCTGGCAGCTGACGAGCCTATATATCAAGTGTCTACTTGGTGTAATGTCTTGGCAGATTTGGAGGAAAGGCTCCCCTGACCTCCACATTGTTAGAATCTCCTTCCCAAAGCCCAGGTCTGAACACCTCACTCCCCTCTTCAAAAACTATACATTCCATTCACTTTGGCAAACCTTGAATGTGTAGGGCTTGAGACACAGAAGAATCAGATCTGGCCTGGCCCCCAAAGCACTTCTCTCAAAGCAGGGAGACCGAAACATAAGAAAGCTGTGCCTTGAACAGAGCAGATGCTCAAGAACTAGGTACTAAACTGACCATTCCTTGATCTTTCTTGCTAAGGAAGTACTGTCTAAAAGTAAGGAAGGGTTAAGACAGTCCCTGCCATAAGGACGTAGTGGGCTGGCTGGGAACACTAAATATGCAGGCAAACGCACATCAGCATGGGGCCTGGCTCAAGGTGGGTGTCTAGCTACTGTTTGCGGATGGACTGTAAAACTCAGCATTTCTCATTCCTAGGCTGTGGAAACATTTGTTCCAGGATATGAAACTATTCCTACTGAAGCTCTCTGCTTCTTAAAGGTCTATAAATTTATCAACAATTGTAAGCATTTATTAAGCATTTACATGTGGCTGTCTGCCTGGGCTGCAGAGGAACAGGTGTGGGAGGGAGGAGGAGGGAGTGGGGCAGAGAGCAAGAAGTATGATCCAGGCCAAGGACACTTATTATCAATGAGAAAAATTAATACTTTTATACATGATCCTATTTTCTAATAGGAATTTGAAATAAAATATTTATATTCTTTTTTATTGATATAATTCACATAACATAAAATCCAACCTTTTAAAGTGTATAATTCAGTGGTTTTAAGTATACTTACAGGGTTGTACAACCATCACCACTGATTCCAGATCATTTTTTTTTTTTTTTTTTTAAGATTTATTTGACAGAGGAGACACAGCGAGAGAAGGAACACAAGCAGGGGGAGTGGGAGAGGGAGAAGCAGGCTTCCCGCGGAGCAGGGAGCCGGACGCGGGGCTCGATCCCAGGACCCGAAGGCAGACGCTTAACGACCGAGCCACCCAGGCGCCCTCTAGATCATTTTCATAACCTCGAAAAGAAACCCCATAACCATTCCCCCTAAACCCAGCAATCGTTAGTCTACTTTCTGTTCCTATAGATTCGCCTATACTTGACATTTATATAAATGGAAACATACAATATACAGCCTTTTCTGTCTGGCTTCTTTCAGTTAGCACGTTCTCAAGGTTCACTGATGTTGTAGTAGGTGTCATTCATGCTGCAACATGAAAGCAGGAATGCAGCATTCCTTTTCATGGATGAATAAAGCTCCATTCTGTGGATAGGCCACATTTTGTTTAGCCATTCATCAGCTGATGGGCATTTGGGTTATTTCTCCCTTTGGCTATTGTGAACAATGCTGCTATAAACATATGTGTACAAGTCTTTGCGTGGAAGTGTTTTCACGACTCTTGGCCATAAATGTAGGAGTGGTGATAATAGGGGCTGCAGGTATTTACTGAGCACTGACTATGTGCCAGACAATGAGCTCTGAACTTCACGTATACTGTATCACTTAAACCTTGCAACCACTGTTGAGAGGGAGAAATTAAAATCCCCAGGCTACAGACATGAAAACTGGGGCCCAGGAAAGTGAACCAACTAGCCCAAGGTCACAAAGCTAATTATCTGCTTGGGCCAGGAGTCAAACCCAACTCCAGGTTTTCTCAACTCCAATTCTCCACACTCCCACGGGGCAGCCATGACACAGTCCTACCGAAATATCCTTCCCTGGCTTTTCAGCGCTTACAGCATAAAGTGCCACCTCCCTGGTAAGAAGGGTGTCTGTGCTCTTCCTAACTAGTAGGCAAGTCCTTAGGGGCTCTGTTGGAGTCTCATTCTTTCAATTCTATTGGCGGTGACTGGGTGCTTTGTATCTGCAGGGCTCTTTACGTAGGATGATGGCGGATTGGCAAAACCAAGGAATAGTCTTCTTTTTGTATTTCTTTTTTTTTTTTTTAAAGATTTTATTTACTTATTTGACAGAGAGAGAGACAGCGAGAGAGGGAACACAAGCAGAGGGAGTGGGACAGGGGGAGTGGGAGAGGGAGAAGCAGGCCACCCGCCGAGCAGGGAGCCCGATGCGGGGCTCGATCCCAGGACCCCGGGATCATGACCCGAGCCGAAGGCAGCCGCTAAACCGACTGAGTCACCCAGGCGCCCCTCTCTTTTGTTTATCTTGACCACTCTGTAGCAACTGATACCTTGGCCACTCTCCTTTGAGTTCTATAAAACCATTTTTTCAGGTTTTCCTCACACCCCTGTAATCATCTCTTGCGCAGACTTCTCTTCCTGTCTTTAAGATTAGGTGTTACCTAGAGTTTGCATCAGGGCACAATTCCAGCTTTCCAGAAGCTAATGGGGATGACAGATGACCAAACAACTACAACTTGGGCCGAATGTGTCAGTGTGCTGAAGGAGGGACAGACAGTACTGTGGGGGCCCAGAAAGGAATGAAGTACTAAGGGGCTTGTTCACCTGGTTTGGCCTTACCAGCCCATCCCTGGTCTCTCTGGTGCTTAACAATGAGGGGCTCCACAAGGCTGAGGGCCAGCGGCAGATGGCATCCTCCCCTTCCCCTCAAGTTCCTAGATCATGGCTAGGGCTGAAAGGGACCTACAATTCAGCAGTGGAAAGGCCTCCTTTTTTAGGCAGCCTCAAGGGGAACTCAGTCGCTAGATATGGGCTGGAGTAAAAGGGGGATCTATAAGGGGAGACCTATAGAAGGGAAAGACAAGAGGAGCGAAGAGGAGAAGAGAAATGGAAGAGAAGGGGGGGAGGAGAGGAAGGGAAAGTGAGAGAGAAGACAGTGGGAGACTGCGTCAAACAAGTGCTGTCAGTGATCTATATTTGCTTACAGAATGAAAAATGTGTGCCATAAACATTGGCCACTGAGTAATTTCTAGTAGGAGTCGTGTCACTTCTCATAAAGGATGGGATGGGGACAGGTAGGACATCTCTGCACCTGGGCCAGCCAGCACAGGGATGCCTTTTAAAGGAGTGTTGGGCCTATCTCTAGCTCAGGAGGCTCTCGGTCAGTCCCCACCCCAGCCACTCCTGAGGGGGGAAGCCAGCCGGTTTCCCCAAGGTTCTGCAGCCTCAGGGCAGCACTTCTGCTCCCACTTTAGGAAGGCTGAGTGGGGGCACCATGGAAAATGTCCATCTAATATTAGTCCCCCAGCCCCCCACACCTTTGCTCTCATGCTCTGACTTGACTAATTGCTGTAATAATTGATAGAACCTGACTTCTACAACTGATCGATTTCACCTCCACGACCAACGGCCACAAGCCATTATACTCCAATAAATAACCACACTGGGTCTCACCCGCCTGCCCTCTCCGGGGGCATCAGGATAGCCTGTGCCCTGGCCTGACCTCCCCTTGTCTCCCACCCAGGGCCCCTCCGGGCCGAGCAGCTGGTCTAGAGGGTCAGGCCTCTGAGAGCAAGTGAGAGGGCCGAATGGAGGTGGGGAGTGCTAATCGCAGGCCATCCGTCACCTCCCACTGGCTGTCTGGGGCTGGGGCCAACACCTGGAGCACCCCAGGCAGTATAGTGCAGGACCCCTCCTCTCCTCTCCCTGCTCCAGATTAGTGTGTCCCAGCTTATAATATTTGATAAATAGCAGACTGGCTTCCTGGCAGCCCTGCTGCGGCTGTGCCTGCCCGCTACAGCTGTGGAAGGTCACTCATTGGGGAAATATGTTTCTGTCAGTGGTATTGAAAAAAGTTTAGTGGAGTGACAGGCCTCAATTTTTCAAATTTTATTAACTCCATCCTCTTAACCATTTGTCTTGAATTCCTTCAGATTCTCGGGGACCTGTCAATAGGGCTTGGGTCAGGAAAGTAAGGTGTGTGTGTGTGTGGGGGGGTGGTATGGGCTGGTCCTGGCTGGTACCAGTGGCTGGCTTGGGTCTCATCATGTAAAGCAGTGGAAATGGTGTTGGTAGGACAGAAGGCTGGCCCACTGGAACCCAAGGAACCCCCTGCTCTTCTCTGGCATAGTGCCTGCCTTTGGTTTGACACAATCATAGATTTTCTGAGTGGAAAAACACCTTAATGGTGAGTTCTTCCAATTCCCTAAGAAGAGACGCCCCTCTACTACATCAGAAACAGGTGGTCTCACCCTGGCTCCCCTGAATGTGCCCAGA